GGGTGTTGGAACTGATTGGTCTTAAAGGTCCCTCCCAGCCCAAACCGTTCTATGATCCCACCTTCTCAGCCTGACTCACCTACGGTGCTGCCGCTCCTGCCCATAACAAGGTGTTTCAGCCCTAAGGGCTGTGTAAACGCGCGTTGCCTTGACTCAGGAGAGGTTCTCATCTAAACAGATAATGTGGATGGAGAAAGGATGGGTGGGGAGTGAAAGGAATAGAAAAATAGGAAGGAAAAACAAATAGGAAACGAATTGCCCGAGGTCAGTGGTTGCACCCAGCTTTCGAGAGCCTGCCCTGAGCATCGTGTGTGGGCTGGGGCGGTGAGGAGCGTGGAGATGCTGTTGTGCTGAATGCCCCCGTTTCCGTGGGACAGAGGGAGCCTCTGCCTCCTGAGTGAGAGCGTGAGCTTCACCCCATCCTTCTCTTCCCAGGGGCCAACTGCGAGTACTGTGCTGACGGCTATTTCGGAGACCCGGAGGCCTCCCAGCCCTGCCGGCCGTGCCACTGCAACGGCAACGTGGAGCCCAACGCCGTGGGCAACTGCGACCGCCGGACGGGCCAGTGCCTCAAGTGCATCTACCACACCGCCGGCAAAAAAAAGGGGCGGCTTCTTCGGGAACCCCCTGGCCCCCGACCCTGCCGACAAGTGCCGAGGTGAGAGCCAGGCACTGTTGGAGCTGGGGATGAGTAAGAAAATCCATGGCGGAGTGCAGAGTGGCCTGATGGGAAGGGGGAGGCTGTGAAAGCCAAGGCTGGAGAGTGGGAGCGGAGGATGGGGCTAAACGGTGGGAGGAAGGCCAGGGGAGAGAGGGGATGGAAGGGTGTACCAAGACTTGAGGTGGGAACAGGCTCCTCTTGAATCTGCGCCGCTCCAACCTGCAGCCTGTGCCTGTGACTCAGCTGGCGCCGAGCCCCTGAAGTGCGGGAGCGATGGGAGCTGCATCTGCAAGCCCGGCTTCGAGGGTCCCAGCTGCGAAGAGAGCAAGTGCCCGGCTTGCTATGGCCAGGTGAAAGACCAGGTGAGCATCTGTGCCACTGAGCAGCAAGGGGGGCAGCGATAGTTATCCTCAAGCATCTTCTCCCGACCTCCTCAAGCATCTCCTGGTGCAAGCCAGAAGTGATTTTGCAGGCTGAGCCTGAACTTTGGGTTTGTACCCAACTCAACCCCTAAAAAACTGATGACCTAGAGCTACTGGCCTGCTGTTCCCCATCCAGAAATGAGCCCTTGCTTTCATCTCCATCCTCTGGCCAGATTGTGGACCTGGTTCCCACCCTGGTCTTGCCACTGTGGGGTTGGCGTTCTGCTGGCTGAGGGTCTGGTCTGCTGTGGTTGCAGGTGGACCTGTACCTGCAGCAGCTGGCGGAGCTGGAGCTGCTGTTCTCAGAGGTGCAAGCTGGTGGTGGGGCCGAGAGCCGGGAGCTGGAGAGAAGGATGCAGCTGGCTGAGGAGATGCTGCGGGCCATCCTCGGGGAAGCTCTGAGCCTCCAAGGTACCACCCATCCGCTGTCCTTGGGTGGAGCCACCTGTGCTGTGTCAGGGGAGGGTTTTGCTGCTTTTGCCTTTTTGCCCAGCGATGGGTTTCTCTTCAGCCTTCCTCTTTTCCTCTCACCAGCCTCTGACAGGTCTCTGGAAAGCCGTGTGGCCAGGGTGAAGGGGCAAGGGTCCAGCTCCCAGAGCCGCTTGGACGAGATCAAGGCAACAGTGGAGAGGCTGAGGTCTCTCGGGAGCCAATACGAGAGGCAGCAGGTGCAGGCCACCCGGCGGCTGCTGGAGAGGGCCAGGCTGGACCTGCTCCACAGCGGAGCCGCTCTGCGTCGGGTGGTAAGAGCATCCTCGTGCGACATGCTCCTGGTCTATCCCAGGGCTGAAAAAAATTCTATGGAGAAAGCAAGAATTTAACGTATTTGACTTATTACCTTAGTTTTGTGAGTGCAGAAGATAGTCTGGTGGCCCATCCTATGGGGCTGGGATCTGGAGAGGTGCTGGCAAGGGTCTTTGGGTGCTGCAGTTGCCTCTTTCAGTGCTGAGTTGGATGGAGGGCAGGGCAAGAGCACTCACCCGTCTCTCCCTCCCTCCTCAGACCGTTCCCGTTTCAAACCTTCCCGGGGGCTCGAATCAGTTCTTGATGTTGGCCCAGGAGGCCCTGAGACTGGCCAACAGGTGAGTCGCTCCCGCTGTTGGCTGAGAGAGAGGGAATGGGGACTGAGATCCTGCTGGGTCCCCAGAAGGTCCCTTTTGGGGGGTTCTTGCCTCAACCCCAGGCTGCAGCTGCTACAACCTCTGTGCCAGCCCTGCAGCAGGAGAAGACGTGGCTGCTGGGTTGGCTCTGCTGCCCTACAGATCTGTCCTCGGTTGCCTTTGAGAGTGGTGTTGGGTGTGTTTTAGAAGCATCTTTGGGGTCAGAGTTTTGGCCCATGGGTGTCCAGTTGGAACAGGCAGCATCTGCCTACCCCCTGGTGCTCCTCTACCCTTGGGAGATACAAGAAGGACAAGCAAAATGTGGGTCCCCTCCTTGAACACGCTGCGTCTCTCGAGAGCGTGCAATCCAGCATGGCTGAATGCAACGGTCAAGGAAGTTGGTGGAGAAACGTTGGTTGGGAAACCTTTCTCATGACCTGCCCTGTGCTTTGCAGCCACGCGCAAGCCGCCAACACCATTGAGCAGGCGGCCAAGGCGGCGCGGGAAGACGCGCGGCAGGCGCCGGGGC